GAAAAGGGGGAAAAAAAAAAGTACAATTCAAAAACGATGAACAAGGTCCATTCTGTACCAAGAGTGTTTCCATCTGCAGCTGGGCCAGTGTGAGACTAAACTGTTTGACAAAAATAGGCAGGCTTTGGTGAGATGGTCCTGTAAAGGGACATCTGAGATAGCGCTGACAAAGTGAGAACCAGTGACGAGTCTCGAGGGGGATTTTGCCGCAGTATCGCTCAGCGCGCTCTCCTCGGCCCCTGCAGGACGTCTCCCGTGCCAAGCTGGCCGCCATCATCCCCGACCCCGTGGTTGCGCCTTCCATCGTGCCTGTTCTCAAGGATGAAGTAGACAGAAAACCTGAGTATCCCAAACCAGACACTCAGCAGATGATTCCGTTTCAGCCAAGACACTTAGCACGTAAGTCAGATGCTCAGTCCGGAGTGACTGATATTCGCTGTGTTCCTCTTACCACAGAAATCTCCCGTGTTCAGTAACTTAGTCACCGAGACTTCCTCATCATCAGTGCTTGCAACACAGGCTTAAGTCTTAGGCTGTTGTTTAACTGGCTTGCCAAAGGCCTAGGTGTTTTGCTTAAACTAGGGTCATTGAAGGTGTAACTGGGGCCTTGCTCTTCACATCCCATCTCTGACCGATCCTTACCCAGGCAGTAGAGGTGGAAGTGACAGGGCAGCAGGGATCCTCTGCACCACGTGATGAGGCTGTGCAAGGAGTCAGGTGGAGCACTGGACTCATGCCCTTCTTTCTCCGCAGCTCCAGGTTTGCATCCTGTACCCGGGGGGGTTTTTCCTGTTCCGCCAGCAGCTGTCGTCCTCATGAAGCTCCTGCCCCCTCCCGTGTGTTTTCAGGTGGGTTTGAATTAATTGTGAGAACTTCAGAAATGAGAAGCGATTCTGTTTTGACATAAGCACAGTATGCACAGAACAGTGTTAATCTTCTAAACCTTTATTTTATATCAGGGTCCCTTTGTTCAAGTGGATGAACTCATGGAGATATTCCGAAGATGCAAATTGCCAGAAAGTGAGTCATTTCTTTAAGAGTCTCTGGTAGTGCCACATGTATGTATGTACATTTTATATGGATGATTAATATGCACCTCCTCATCCTCTCTGTTATTTTAAGAGCCAAAGCTAGGATTTCGTTTTGTTTAGAGGGAAAAAAAGCACTTTCAATTTAAATGGAATATTTTTCAAATCTGCTGTCTCTACTCATACGCAGAAACAGCCTTGCTAGGCATCTTCCTGATGAATCAGGCACACGTTCAGAGTTTCCCAGCAGGTTTTCTTATTTTATTAAGCTTGTAACTGACCTCAATACTTGCGTAAGGAGAGGTCTTGATTTGAAGCAGCAGCATTTACCTTGTAATTAGTGTTTGCTCTGGCTAAGAGTTTGACAGGTTAAATTTATTTTTTCCTCCTAAAATTTGCAGAAGTAAGGTAGCAAATACCTTGTGTTCCACACCTCTCCCTGCATATGCATCGTGGTGGCCTTGCTTGAAGGCTCTTTGGTTTTTAATGTCCTTATTCCAGAATTTCTGTTCAGCTTGGCCGAAACACCTTTCTACTGCGGGGATCTAGTTTCACAAATTAAGCTGATGTTTTCCTTGTCCTGCAGCTGTTGATGAAGCTGTAAGAATAATTACTGGAGGCCTCCCTGAAATAGCTGTGGAAGGCAACGGTCCTGTGGAAAATAACGCCCTGCTCAACAAGGCTGTCAAGAGAGCAAACGAAGACTCTGATGACGACGAGGAGAAAGGATCGGTCGTTCCCCCCGTTCACGACATCTACAGAGCACGACAACAAAAGAGAATCCGGTGAAACAGGTCTGCAGTTCTGCTGTGATAGACAAAGACTTGTACCGAGGTGGTCTCTTAAAAGTCAAGCTTTAAAAGGGACAGCTGCAAACAGAAAAAATCTCGAAAATGGTTTTGTTACTGTGGTGCCTCTTCTCCCATATTGTTCTTGAACCAAAACCAGAGAGAACAATCTTAGAATGTGCTCTGAACAAAATTAGATTTTTCAAAAACACAAGTGCAAAATGACTAAACTGCATTTTGTTCTTTCTTCAAGGATGTTCACATCGACCACTTGAAATCTTGTGGGTTTTCAACAGTTTTATTTTAAAAACTGGATGGCTTATAATTGTGAAGCATTTTTAATTCACACTTTCTGGAAAACAGTTGTTCTCAGTTTGTTCATGTAGTGTCCTGCCTTATTGTTTGTTTTTATTTATGGCAGAATGTATGGAATCTGTTTTGTAGTTGAAAATGGAAAAAAACATTCCTTTAAAATAAAAGGATATCGATAACATCATGCCTTATTCTGGTTTTATTCAAATTTTTTTTTCTAAATACCACTCAGTTCCTTCACAAGCGTTGTTAATACAAATTAAAACCATCACAGGAAACGCATCAGACCATATATACCAGAACGCATTTTTGTTCCAGATTTCTAGCAGATACAGTACAGTTGTTCTGAATGCCATGACTGTTTACAGAAGACAGCAAAATAAGACCATTCCAATACCTATTTCTAATGTGGATTGTCCAGGCGGATTAGTTAACAGGCTCTGGCCTTGGGTAACTGCATGGGGCCTCTATTAATAACGTACAAAGGTAAATGTTAATATTTTTAGCTACATTGTGTAACCTGTTAGCTTATTTGAAAATAACAGCAATGGCCTGTGAACTTTTGAAGCCTTTCCTATGCGTTCTTCAGATTGTACGACCCCTCCAGAGGAACCCCCTGAAGTGCAGGGCAGTAGCTACGCTGCCCCGCAGAGCCGGGCCTGCCCCCAGGAGCACAGATGCCTGCAGGCCAGACGTGAAGCAGGGACGTACCAGGGCCCAAACAGTGACAGACAGAGCAGGAGCTGGCCTTACTAACGCTCAGTTTATTACGTAGATATTTTTAAACTTTGGTAGTTAACACTATCTGCATGTCTTTCTTAGAAATCACTTTGAGAAATGGACTGCCCTTTAAAAAACAAATAAGGCTGGCAAAACCGCTCCTGCGCGTCGCGGCGGTGGGCAGGTACCGGGCCACGCCGGCTGTCCCCGTTCAGCAGCTGGCAGCGCCGCGCGGGCCTGCGCGCCTGGCGGAGCCGGCACGCGTGGATGCTTGGATGCAGAATTTCCAAAGCAGAGCCAGGTACCTCCTTGGTTAGCAAGTACAAACTGTCTCACCCCTTCCGTCCTGCTCAGTGTTGTCTCAGATGCCGTTTCCACAGGCTGGCTTCTATGTTGCTTGCCCTTTGCTGCTGCTCCTCTCTACATCCTTGAAGCCAAAGATCCGAACTAAGATACTCGATTTACTATTTGAGTAAGTTTAGCCAAAGGCAAAATATCACTTGTCTGAACTAGTGATCTCCTGCAAGACTGCTTTTTCTTGGGGAAAGGAGGTTTTGTAATGAATGAGAAAAGATTTATTTTATAGTTGTATAGGCTACTATGGAGTAAAAGGTCTTGTCTTATTCTATCTTCCTCCCTGCTCAAAGTCACTGCAGCCATAGCTATGCTGACATGCAAAGGGAAGCACCAATGCTGATTCTGTAAGTTCTCCTATTTTGATTTGTTAATTAGTCACCAAAATGTAGCTGGAAGTTATCGTTATAGAAGGACTTTTCACTATGTTTTTTAAGAGGCAGTAGATTATTTGGGATACAGCCTCTAACGCTGGGACACGGTTCATGACTGAGCTCTGCCTTCCTGGAGCCATCGTGTTCTGACTGTGGCAGCACAGAGCTGTACGCAAGAATGGGGCAGATTTCCAAACGTACCCACCTCCTCGCTGACTTTGAAATTACAGTATTATGGTATTAACTATTATACACTGTAATTTCAATACGATTCACATTACACTAGAAAGGCGGTTAGATCATTGAGATCTTCTATCAATGCCCATGTTGATACAGCATGTAGTTAATTAAATTCAAGATTTAAAAATATTTTAAGCTTTAAGATCATCCCTACAAAGTGAAAAACATCTACTGAAAATACTCCCTGTATATTCAAATCAATGTTTTATCAGTTATTTCCCACCCTATGTTTAAAATCACTTACACTTCTGAAAGTGTTCTGCACTTCCTGCATATTTTTAAAGACATGATTGGATATGCAACCATCTCAAGCTGTAGTTTTAAAAAAGAAGTAAAACTTTTCAGGCAAAAGAATCACACACTGTAAATCCACCTTCTGAAGATGACAAAGATTCACTTTAGTATTTTTGCATAAAAAGGAGTAAACTACTAGGAAAAAAGAAAAGGTAGGAAATATCACTTTTATCAAAACACTGAACTCTGCCCTTCTGAAGAAGTCTTTACAAGGAATAAATACAGCTGCAATCTATAAGATTGCCACCTTTGTAAGTACTGTACATAGCAGAGGACAGTTGCTCAATAACCAGAAAATTTGCTACAAAAATATAGTTTGTTTTTTGAAACATCTGCAGATAAACGGCAAAAAAAGCCATTAAAAACACAGAAAAAAACTAGCAGTCTACCATACTAACTATAATGTTACAATAAAGTGCTGTTTGGCTTTGCTTTTTTTTTTGCCTGTTGAAACTTCCCATAGCTTGCTCCTCAGTCTTCAGATTAAGGGTTTTTTTTTTAAAAAGCCAAATCATCCTCTTGGGAAGGACCATCTCTAATCTGCTCTGGACTGAACATTTAACTTCATGGTAAATTACAGAGTAAAATGCCCCCAAATGAGCCATTTAAAGACACAATTTGGTTGTCCAATTTGTCCTACCTAGCACTGCTCAGATCTTTTAAAACTGCAGCCCAAGCCTACGACGACCCGCTCCGGGTTGCATCCCTACATTAAACATCCATCTCCTTTTTGTCATTCATTTCAGAACCCCTCTGCAACGCACGTATTTTTCTCATCAATCACCACTAGTGAATTAAAGGAACCAGTGTTTACATGGAAAGCTGTTTTTCTAGACAAATACTGGTGCTTTTTTTTTTTTTTTTTAATAGCAGACCAATTTAGTACCGTATTGGCAGCATACAAACTGGTTTTATGGTTCCTCTGACTTCTCCAGGTGCTGAGACACGTCCTTAGTCAGTATTTTGTCGAGGACTGCATCATAGTAAGGGCTGAAGACCATTTTGTTGTAGTTGACGAGACGAACATACTTGACAGCAATCTCTTCCAGCTCTCTCTGGATAGGACCTAATCCTCCTGGAAGCGCAGGCAGTGATTTCTGATGGCTAGAGGCAAGATAATTCCCCAGAAACTTTTGAATTCGAGAATCTGGAAAAAACGGAACAAGAGTTTCGATTTGTTTTTTAGAGAGCCCCTCAGCTGTCAGTCTCAGCGGCAGCAGCGCTGGCCCCAGCGCGCGGAGGAGCCGAGGCCGCGTGCCGCCTCCCGGCCGCAGAAAACGCCTCCCGGCCGCAGCGCGGCGCCGCTGCGCCGGTGCCTGCTGCCGTTACCTATGAGCGAGCAGATGGCGTTGTCGGCGTTGGCCGCCGCCTGGATTTGCCCCTTGAGCCCCGTCTCCCTGTCGGCCGCGAGCGGCGCGGGGCCGTGCTGGGCCAGGCAGCCGTTGAGCTCCGCGCACACCTTCTCGCCGACGGTCGCCAGGGACTCCCGCATGTTAAAGGAGCTGCAGAAAGGGATGCAGAGCGTTACCTAAGAAGGGCTGTGCTCATTCACTTTTCTTCCACCTTTAAAAACATACCATTCATTTAGAGTTGCCTTGGTTATTAGGGTAATGGAAGAGGAGTAACCCACATAAAGCAAGAATTACCAAGAACAGAAGGTATTTTATATATACGAAAAATAAAGACAAAGGAGTAGGGGACTGCATTAAAGATCCACCCGAACAGGAAGGGACATTCCATCCATGCAGACGGCGCAGCTGAAGAGCACTGCAACCCTGCAGCGAGCACCGGACTCGCTGCGCGTCCACAGGCGCCGTCTGCCCCGCGCTCCGAGCACCCATGGAGCGGAGCTGCCGGCCCCCGCGGGCTCCAGCGCCGCGTGCCAGCCAGGCCTCGTGAGGAACGAGCCCTCGGAAAACACACTGGCAAGCGGCAGGGCCAAACCAGACTCTTCTGTGTCAGAAAGCTGGACCAAAAGGGCCAGCCCGGGTTAATTAAGAGCCCTTGTAACCTCCTCTCCATGCCCTATGGTCTACGGCAAAGCGAAGCTCAAACTGGCTATCTGCCAGGGCCCACGTGAATGCCCCCGTCTCTGTGCGCCCTCGAGAATTCGGTACTCACCCTGCCAGCAGCACCCTGACTATGGTCTTGATTTTCTCGGCAAACCCGGGTATACCAGCAAGCGCCGAGCCTGCCGCACTGAACGTGACCAGAAGGACGGTCCCCGTCAGCAGGAGCTGCTCCAGCTCCAGCTGTATTTCCTGAAAACGGGCCTGGTCCATTAACACGGTCTGCAAAGAAACGAGAAAGGCAGGAGAAGGAGACTCAGATGGGTGAGAGGCTGCTCGAAGCGCTGGCGGAGTCTCCATCCCCAGCCCCAGACAACCTGCTCAACCCGACACCGCTCCGAGCAGGGCTGCGGCCCGGCGGCCCTGCAGAGTCCCTTCCCAACAGAATTATTCTGTGACTCGCTCTTACAGATCAAAGCCATTTCTTCATTCCAAAATATTTCAGGAGGTTGAAAATACAAACACACACACATGTTAATGTATAATATACAACATTACACTGTAGATATAATACAATTTTCTGCTTTATGACATAAAACACACAGGCCTACTTAATCAGATTACTCCAATTTGACATGCTGACTCAGAGATCAGACCCAGGCACTTGTGAGATAGGCACAAGATACTCACTAAGGGACCATTACAAGTCCCTTAAATATTATTAGGCCCTTCTATATTATTAGGCTACCACACAAGGTGGCTTTGCAGGACTGAGAAATTTGAATTGTTACTGTTGATTGGTTTGTTTTTCTCACTTTTGTGACTGTTGCATTAATTCATGAATAAAAATCATGAATAAAAGCATTTCAAACATGACGCATAATCTACCTTTTAACTACTGATTTGGTATTGCAAATGAATTTTAATCCCCTGAAAATACACATTTTCTTTTTAAGAAACACTTCCCAGGTTAGATAAAGCAGAGAGAGCAACAAAACAGATATTTACTGTAATTCCTATTGAACACTCTTAAACACCCTTGAAGGAACACAGAGACAATAACTACTTCTGCTTTGTGGTTCCTGTAGGTTTGTTTCCAAGAATTCTTTCTAGATGCACAAAAAGCTGTTTATTTTGCCGAGCACGAATTTCTGGCTTCTCTGCTCTGTAACAAGGGGTTAAGCACATCCAATTCAGTGCAACTTTCACAGTGTGTAACCGGCCTTTTTGTTTTCTCTCCAAACATCTGAAATGCACAAACTCGCCTCAGTTCAAAGGGGCGAGTTTGAAAGATTTTGAAGCAAAGCTTTAACTCCCAAACCCACAAACGGCCGTGCGATGGCAGAGAGGCAAGGCCCGCGTTGCTCTGGTGCAGTTTCCAAACTGCTCCACACGACCAACAGCAGCGACTGCCGCCAGAGCACCCACCTTGCCCACCAGGCGCTCATTCACCCGGGGCCCTGCAACAGCTTCTCCTACTCTGTGGTGACCTTAGCCCACCTACGGCCGCGCAGGGCGCAGCCTGACACGCAGAGACCTTCTCTGCAGAGGAGAGCAGGCGCTGGAGCCCCAAGGGCCGTGCGGCCTGAGCGCAGGCGCTGCCGCACGCGCGAGCCCTGCCGTGTCCCTGGCTGCTCCGGGAACTGCTGCCTTCCGCCGCCGCGTCGCGGGAGCAGCCCAGAACCGGGAATACTGCACGATAACCCTCGGCGCTGACAGGGAATTGGCTCTGTTAAGAGAGCTATGAGTGGGTGCAATTAAGAGAGAGTGCTGTGCTTGTGGCAAGGCTACAAATGCAAACAGTTTCCATTATGTTCCAGCAATATGAAAGCGGTAGAACAGAGACATCAATTTCTCTGTTAAATACCTACTTCTGGAAAAGGCCTGTTCACATGATCCCATTTCAGGAGCTTCAGATACGCCTGGTTTTGCACAGCAACGGAGCACAAGGCAGAGGCTCCGGCAGCAGCGCCGTCGTCGTCACCGCAGTGGGGAAGCAGCTTTTTGCAGCGCAGCTTTACGAGATCATCGGCGGCTTCTTGCAACCACTCTGTGACAAGGTCTAAGGAATCTGGGAAGGGGAAAAGGAAAAGTCCTGTTAAGAAAACTTGTTTTCAAAGCTATTTTTTTCCAAGTAACCCCATTTGGCTGCTATTTCTAATACCCATGATGCCAGTTACTGGTATGTGTTTTATTTACAGCATCAATCAGAACACGTAAAAGAAAAACAAAACCTACTGCATCATACACTCTCTTCCAATGAAACAAAACTCCACTGTGTTGAGTGCTGACATGTTGTATTGGTATACTTTTGCAAACCATAGTTTGCGGATATAAGCTTTCATTTGCCACCTGAATTACAGAACACAAAATCTAATTTCTTTTTGTGATACACAAACAGAAATGCAGAGTTTACTGGGATGTCAGAGGGGAAGAAAGAAAGAAACAAAATCATACTTGGCTGTTTCTCAAGAAACTCCTGAAACTTCTTTCTTTCATATTCAGCAGACTGCTGCATTAATTTTGGCCTAATACTAGTGACAGCGAAGTTTGCCATATCCATTTTCATTAGGTCTAACACAGAGAAAATTGCTCTAAACAAACAAACAGAAAAAGTTATTCAGGGCTACAGATGTTAAAGAGGCACTGTTTAAAAGACTTAATACAGATTGACCAAGGAAAGAGCAAAACCATGCATGCAAAACGTTAGATGTGCTCAACATGCCCAGGCAGGAGCAGAGGGAAGGCGGAGCGAGCGTGCACGTGCATGCGCGCACTCCTGGCCTTGTTCTCCCGCAGGAAAGCCTCCCCCACGGGTCAGATTTCCCAGGATGTGCAGGACCACGTGCCGGATACACGGGCAGACACCCCTGTTCCAAAGCTAGCAAGCTGCCTCTGCTGGCAGCCCCAACTGGCAGCCTCCATGGAAATCAAAGAATGAGCCCCCAGGGGAAAAAAATAATAATTTCAAAGCAACCGAACCCCTGCCTGCAATGCTTCTGTCAGGTCAAGCCTTGCTCTTGGAAGCTTACCAAATTAGAAAATGTTTTGGCATAAAAAGATAAAACAACAAGGATAATAGGATTTCCTCTAACTACCGAAAGCTTGAACTGTTTATTCAGAAATGGTGACAAGGCAGAAGCCTCCCCTATGCTCCCAGATCCAGCAGGTTTGCTCCTCTTTTTTAGGGGGAGGAGGAACTGGCTGAGGAACAACAGTGTCTTTTCCCCATGCTCCTGACCATATCCAAATTTAAAATCAATGGCAGAAGGTATTGAAAGATAAAGCAGAAAAAGGCAGAAAAGGCAAACTAACCTTTCGCCTGCAAGGTTTCAGAAAATGCCCTTCAGTGACCTGCAGGAGCCGGACACAGACCAGGGGGTCCTGGTCCCCGGGTGCATCTCCCCCTCACGGCTGCGTCCCCTTCCCTCTGGCTGTTTCCAGCAAGCCTCCCTGCTGGAAGCACCCCCATTCCACAGGCACACGGACAGCTACAGCTATTTAAGGGCCTCAGAACAACCAAAAGGTATCATCTCAGTACCTGAACAGAGGAACTATTTCATGAATATCTTTCAGTCTCTTAATTTCTTCATCTCGAGCTGGAGCACAGAGGGTCCCCATCATTCCAATAACAAATTCCACCAACTTGGAAATGTCCAGGGCCCCATTTTCTGCCTCCTGTTTTATCAAATCCAGATCAAGAACCTCTGTAATCTGGTTTCTTAGTCTAGTATGACCAGGCAGCAAGAAAGACAAGAGAGTCTGAAATGGAAAGATTTAACAGCGCGTTAGTCCTGCGTATCAAACGCTACAGGATCGAGGCAGTTATCCAACCATTTTCATTTACGCTAAAGGCCATTTACAAGTGGTATCTCGGGTTCATTAACAAAGCCAAGGAGTCATTTACCAGCTCTAGATTCAAATGCTACACACACGAGTACACAATTTATGTATGTTCACAGAAAATAATGCATTATGAAGAGATCAAGAGAGTCCTTTACAACCTGCGACATTTCAAACACTTCATTCTGCCTGTCCACCTGAACACAGATGATCAAATTCAGTAACTTACTTGGCTATGACAGCATCCTACCTCTTTAATTTCTCCCAACAGTTTAATTGCATGGTCATATGTTGGTGGCTCTTCCTGCAGCTGGGCTTCCAGGCAATCCCAGAAAGCTTTGTGCACAATATCTCTTACTTTTTTTTCCAAGCTGTGGGTAAACACAAGCAGTTAAAAAGGGCAGTACTTGTCTCTGCAACCACCTTATGCAGTGACCTGCAGAGCTCTGTAAGAGTAGTGTGTGTAATGAATAAGTGAAGATTAACAGAGAAGAAGCTACCATTTTAAGCTAATCAAGAAAAAAAAATACTGGATGTAGGATCTGGAATGACTCATATTCCAACAAAATGTTACAGGCAAGCAAAGAAGGCTACAGATTAAATCCTTGAAAGCAGCTGTTAAATGCCACTTCTCAAGTAGCCCAAATAGAAGATAAAGAAATCATAAAAATTATAGATTCTCTTCCGAAGAACAGTACTGATGTTTCTTTGCAGAACTTCACTAAGTAATACGACTCTACTGGCTAAGACTCATTAAGTAAACCTAGGAGAAATTAAATAACTCCCTTGATATGAAGGTTTCTGCAATTTCAACTCAAGTGCTGAGTGAAAGGCCCCACTCGGTTGGTATAAACAACAAACAAATCCCACAGTTCCAGGAACCAATTTCTAACTCAAAATATTGAGGTTCACTTCAGCAGGCACACTCCTGTTCACACCAGGTTTGAATTCAACATTGAAGAAAAACCATAAAATGCTCACGTTCACACACACACACAGAGCATGCCTGCACCAAATCCCACGGATTCCCAAGGGCCGTACTCCAGGTGCCACGAGGCTCAAGCATCTCCCCAAAGTCCTTACATGCTGGGTTTCCTGGCAGCAGCCAGTGCTGCAAATACAGTCACAAGTGCTTTTGCCTTCAAGCACGTGTCCTTGGTATTTGCAAGTTGTGGGGAACTTACCTTTTTCCGATGCTCTTCCCTAGGCGTTGGCACGGCCAGGTAGGATACTAGACAGACCTTTTATCTGATCCATTACAACGGTTCTGCAGTTCCACAGTTATTAGTATTATTATTATTATTCAAGTGCTTAGTAGCAGTCTTACCTGTGTTCTGGTAATTCAGCTGGTTTTATGTGGAAGTCCCCATTAACAACAATTTCATGGGCTAGTGCCATGTTGGTTACTCCCTTCGCAGTTTCCATGAGCTCTTCCATGGACACAAGCCTAGGAGGACTAGCTGTAACATGGATAAAACAAAGGTAGTGACTGACTGCAGAAATCTGAGAGGTAGGAGAGCACGGGTTGCAACAGTTCCAGAAAATTTGATTTGCTTCCCGGCTGCCCTGGGAATTAGTGGTCCCAGTTGTTGCAGGTGATGTAACATCCTCCACGTGGGAGGCTGCTGACCCTGCTGGGCGCACAAAGCAGTGCTGAAAGCAGGAGGACACGCGCCAGGGAAGGTGCCAAGGGCACAGCCCGTCCTGCCCAGGGGAGCGACCTTGTCTCTGCTGAGGCCAGCTGAGACCTGCGGCTGCCAGTAGTTTCCAACATAAAACAAACCAACCAGGAGCCTTCCTATGCTGGGCTCACCGAGCCACTGAGGCTGGTTGCACAGAAAAGGCCCTTCAAAAACACATGCCCATCACCTGAATGTGTGCCATGTGCACACACAACGAGAGGGTTTTTCAGGAGAACCTCATTCTTCTCACACAGTACTCTTTAACCCCTGTTTCCTTCATCTTAGAGCTTAGACTTGCCCAGTGACTATGGGAGCACAGCAGGAACTGATATTCTGAGCAGAACGTGCAGCCCAATGAAGCTGAATGAGAATTAACTCTTGTCCAGCTGCCAAATGACCTCACTCTAGCTGCAGAGGCAGTAAAAGCTAAGAGACTCTTTCAGGAACCAAAGGAAGCTCTTCAATCTTGGTACGTCATTGCACATTATTCCTACCCCTTCCAAGAGGGGAGGGCTCCAGCCCAACAGCTGCTCCGTGGTGCAGTGCAACACAAGGCTGTGCTCTGCCTGTCACTTCACAGGGCTGTCGCACACTGGCCAGCGACACAACAACATGAACTCCACACGGAACATTTCTGCATAGCGTGACACTATATACAACACTAAATGCACCTAGATTAGTAAGGGGTGCCAATAAAAAAGAATGAAACAAAACATGGCACATGCTGGGAATCTCTGCAAAAATTCCTGCCTAGTTATCTGAATAATTCCATTTCTTTGAACTGAATCCTCAGGACCAGGAGGAGAAAAAAAAAAAAAAAAAAAGCTACTTTGAACTATAGAGCTGCGCGAAATAATCAGCAGTCCTCTCATATCTGGCTCCTCATGCTAAAAACAGGATGACAGGGACAAATGTGCTGTAGAAATAAACTCACAGCATGAGAGTCCTGTGAACAGTCTGACACTAAAACTGGTATTAGGATGGAAAATATTCCTGCACAGACCAGTCAAAGTTTATCAAATTTCAGTTTTAGAATAAATCCACTGAGCAGAACAAACCGAAAAGAGGCACCATTAAACTTTTGATCGGTATTGGGGGAGGGAGGAACACAAGAGGAAGAAAGAGGACGGGATGTATTTGGTTGATAATAGACTCTCCTGCTCTGCACTAAAAACAGAGGCTTAGGCAGTCCAGAAAGTTCAGCTGATAAAGGGGACGGTAGCAACAACCCAGCTACAACGTACTAGAGAAGGGCCTTATCCTGTAAACACTCTCACAAAGCAGCTAGGACATATGGCTCAAGACAAAACAGTTACTGTGGACAACGAAGTACTGAAATAAAACTGGAAAAAAAACAACAGGAAAGGGTTTGTAGTGTCTTTGTGTTACAAACAGCTTCAAAGGACAGCAAATAACGAGGTTTCATATAGCATTTAACTGTAACACAGTCCAACACACAAAGAATGCTGAAAAACCCCATGACTGTCCACTGGATAAAAACAGAGAATTCTACTTAGTTTTAGAAGCAATTTTGCTTACACTTGGGTGCATCATCTCTGTGTGAAGCAGGAGGACTCTGTCGTATTCTCTTCCTGATGGACTGACCTGCAGTGTCCATGCTTGTCTCTTGGCCATCCTCCAAAGCACTCAGCTTGTCTGCACTTGTATGTGGCTTGTCAGGATTGTGGGACATTTTCACTTGTTGCTTTTTAGGAAAAGGAAAAAAAAAGAAAAAAGAAAAAGGGGATGAATAAACATTTTCTGACATGGCTAAATAGGAAATCATCACCTGTGGTACTCTTGATTAAGACAAAAAATTAGAAGAAGTCTTATGAAGACTCAGGTGATTTTACTCCTGTAACGGTGGGGGACCTGGATACTGACTCACTTTCCATCTTATACAAAAAGGATGCTTTTAACACAGCCTCCATTTACTTAATTTTTATTTCTAGGAAATTCTCAAAAAATCTGAAACTGTTCCTTTACCATAATGCACAGAGATGACAAAGAAAAAGATATTTAAGTTTGTTTTTTTAGCATTGCTTATGAAGGAGCAGTAAAAATATGTTTTGAATAAACTGTGGACATAGTTTACAAAAATGATTATGGCAAATGAAACATTACTACTATATAATGATAATAATGTGTTCTCAACCTAATATATTTCTTACTCATATCAGCCGATCAGAACTTAAATCTAGGCCATCCAAATAAATGAAAAAATTAAAAAGCAGGAAAAGGACTAGGATCTAATTAATACAGGATCTTACTCCCATTACTTCCTTCCATGCAAGACTCACCATTTATGCATAGAGATCTGAGGATGTTTTGTTAAAAAAACATAACTACAGTAATGAATCTGTATATCATTTAATGTAAATTTAAAATATTGAAATTATTAGTTTACTAAATGCTAGTTTTCAAATAATTTTTACTACATCACAAATAGATGCAGTTTACCCACCGATATACTGAAAAAATGGCCACTGGAAAAGCATGTCTCACTGTTCATTATCTTCACCTATTTTTTGTTCAGCTTTTTCTTTGAGGAAGGTTTGAAGAATTCTCTGCTATACGGGAAGCTGCCGTTCAAATTTCAGTTCTAGGCAGCTCCGTTAAAAGGTACGTGATCTCACTAAATCATCAAATAATCAGAACCAAACAGTGGTGCAAAGAGGGAAGTTGAGAATAGGCTTCCAAAAAAACAGGAACCGGAAACAACAATAAAAGCTTATGGGAAAGCACCAACTTCCCCTACTACCTACTATCCTGGGATCACAGCTTTCTAAATTGAAAGAAACAAGTTTTCAGCAAGAGAACAACCCACAAAAGCACCTCACAGCTCTTAAGCATTCTTGCAGTTGAGGACTAAACTGGAAAGGATGCAGCACAAGCAACAGTGTGGAAATACAGAACACTGAATATAGTTTTTTAAGCAGAGCCACTGTAACGACGAACAATTTAAACTGAATGCCAACAGTGTCGTGCTGCAAGACAGCCAGGAGACTCGGTGGATATCAGAAATTTTTACCTGTCTCCACAGCAATGACTCAGGATCGTCGCCTTGCTAGATGCACAGATATCTGCACGCAGCGAGGCAGCGCGCGTCCCCAGAGCACCGCGTTCCTCCCAGCGCGGGCAGGGGCGCGAAGCAGAACGAGCGCCGCGTATCCCCGGCGGGGAGCACCCGACGCTGGCTCTAGCTCTAGCTCCAGCTCACCCCTGGCCTCCAGCCGCGTGCGGAGCCGCGGAAGGGCTCAGGGAGCAGCGGGAGCCCCCGCACCTCCGGCGGCAGGACAGGGCTCTCCCCGCCGCGGCGCTCCAGCAGCGAGAGCCCGAGGAGATCCGACGAGAACAGCAGTTAGACGGTGAGAGCTGAAACAGAAAATGCAAGACAGGTTAAACGGGGGGGAAAATACATTGTCTAGCCAAAATAACAATCTTACGTGATATATCTTGCACTCTCCCTGCGCATTTTAGCCTCACAAGCTCTAGAAAAGTACAGAAATATTATTGGGGTGGTAAGCTGCTCCAGGACGCCCAGAGGAGATAAACAGTCTCTTGATTATTATGCCCCAGCTTTGCCCCCCCAGACTATCATTCTTACCATACAGGATACACTTTCCATAAAATAGCCCATCAAGGGCTACAGCCTCAAAACTGCAACTTAGTCTAAATGCTCCTCGTTAAGAGCTTTCACCGTTCAGCTGGAAGCGCTCCCAGGCCGTTCAGCCAAAGGGCTTCTCAGCAGAGGAGGCTACCAGGCACACTTGTGGATTTAGTACAGTTTGCAATAGTCTACTATTTTCTCCTGGTCTGCTGCGATTGTTGCCAGGACAGGTCTAGAACAAATCCTCTTTCTACGGGATAAATAAGCTTGACAATACCTCTTTCAAAAATGCAGTCATCATCTTTCATTTCACAGAAACAGTTCTCCCTCTTTACAGAATTCATTTCATAGAAACAATGATCCCTCTTTATTAACAGAGTCTACTACTTGGTACTTTCCTCCAGTGCTTTTTTTTTTTCCCCCCTTTATATATAATAACAGAAGTGTAAGAGTAAACATAACAAAACAAATTAAACGCAAGCAAAACATTTTGCACTGGTCCTTTTCACCACAGGTCCCGCAAGCATCTGATGCAAACCGGCGTTCAATGATCTCCACCATGCTGCTAGGAAGCACATGCAAAATGGGTCTGAACACAAAGCCACCTGAAACGCACAGGGCCGCCAGCTTGCGGGAGAAGCAAAGCAGCTACCACATCTCACAGGAGAAATGAGAATCTACCGTGTTTGCCTTAAAAATGAGCTGGGATCACCCCGCGCAGCGCTGTGCCCCAGCAGCTGCTGCTGGCTGCCAGCCCCGCGCAGCCCCCTGCTCGGAGGATGATGCACAAACAAGCGCGGGGTGCAGCCCCCTTCGCCGGCGCTGCCGCAGGGCCGTTCTCCCTCCCC